TTTGTGTGTGTCTTTCAATTGTTTACAAATAATATTCACAATTGTCTCATAGTTTTGTCGATATATCACTTTGGACTACACTACAGTGATTCACATTTTCATCACGTTACATACCTGTGTTATCAATTAGTACATTTTAGATCGTAAAATCATACATTTACGTATTTTGTTCTTTCATACACAATCTTGGAACAGGGTGTATTTTGACTCAAAAGGTGGAGGAGGTCACGAGCCACTCTGAAGCACTTTTGTGGTGTCTTGAAACATATTTTTGGGGGTCATAAATGTGTCATCCCGCATGCCTAATGAAAGGTCTATTCATAAGTTTTAAAATATATAATTTGCCCTTTCCTGATATATACATATCTCGCATTTACATTTTATGTCATAATGTGATTTTCTCTGAGTGTATGTCAGTTGAAACCGTTTCTATTTCAATAAGTGGTGGTTGCCCCTTGAACTAATGGCAACCATATATATGTCATACCTTGGTGGTATTAAGAGGGGATCAAATGGAACTGTGGTTAGGCTCGGTGACATGATAGTTTGTTATCTCAAAGCATGGCCCAATCATCATAATATCAATCACTGGTTTCTCTTGTCCAAACGCAGATATTTACCGCCTGTCGGAAAATTCTGGAACACAGTGAACAACCATAAAGAACTATCTTAATAACATGCTTGTTCTTATAATACAGATTGTATTCCTAAAAACCACAGATGCGTGTGCAGTAAATCTCCATTGTGTCGAGCTGTAATGTGTCAAACTGACGGTTGTCTCGAAGTAAAAGCATCCCTGTGTATTCCTTATTTCATCATTTTCTGTTGGAATCGAACTTCGAATAACTAAGTATAAGTATTTTAAGTATTTACATGTCCCTTCAGCTTCGACACACCGATGTTTGATTGTATGTATTTCTGATAATCTTGTTTAAATGATAATTAAGTTGTGGATAATTCTCTGCAATATCTTAATGATGCTTCAATGCATCTAGTTGTTTCTATTGCACACGTAATTGTGTAAAATAAATGCTCAATTATCAGGGCGTTGGGGAGTAGGCCTGTTAACAGCTGTTGAAGTATCGACACTACGTAGTGTGAGTCACACAACCCTTTGTGAAAGTTATTGATGACTGGTATTACTGTATGTACAATAAAACTATACTAAAGGCAACTAGATTTTCAATCAATCTCTTCTTAGGTGTGTCAAGTATGATTGTAAACTGTGTTACGCGAATTGTCGATCAATAGCACAACATGTGCGGTCCGCATGTTCACGTAGATGGAATAAGCAAATGTACTGGGGATGAATTATAGTGGACTATTACAACAAGTTTATGTTTATTTCGCATATTGTTACCACATACTTTATTACAAAGCCAATCATAGTGACAGTAAGGGCGTGTTGTTTAAGCGTACCATCATTATTACTTATTAATCTGAATGGCTTGCTACCATTTAAAAAAATAATACCCAAATGTAAAAAAATTCGGATAATTTTTACGACTATATAATTACAAGCATCATACAATTTATAGAAACCCATCTAAATAAGGTATAACCATTCCATATAATTACAAGCATCTCACGTTTAGCCAACATCAAAGGCAAAGTCTGAGCTTTGAGGATTCATTGACTTACTGTTGCATTATTGTTGGTACATGAACTGCCGGTCTAAAGAAAGTATACATCTTGGTTACAAGGTTGCTTAGAACAGCAACATTTAATAATCGATGGTGAAAATGAACAACAAGAATAGGTTGTTCGATGGTGGTGAATTTGATGCGAATATCAGTGGTGTGTGTTGGACCTTAAAATTGCAGCGTTTCGACGACTGTTTTAACTCGAACGTTTTGATAACGTTTGTAATTGTTTTGGTGAAATCCCATTTTTTATACGTGTATATTCCTTCGCACAGCAGTTTATATAATCTTGGGTCCCGATCCACAAAATGTTCGTAGCGCACAACATTCGTAAGCCTATTATAAAATCTAGAGTTACGATAGGTCGTAACGTTACGAACGGTTCGTCTATCCGGACCCTGGACGTAAACGTATGTCAGAATTGTCTGTTGAATTGCCCATTGGTGCCGTTAACATGGTGATGTTTAAATTTTCTCTAATATATTAATCACATTATAACACTGAACATAGGATCAGTGAACAACGTACCAACACGTCTACCATGTGTCATCACCCATCCTCTTCGTAAGTATGACACCTTATATACACAAAAAATTGATTTCCAATGACACGTCAGCAAAATATCTACAAAATATGCTTCAACGAACAAATTGATTTTTGCAACTTGTGGCCGACATTTGCGAAGGGCGGAGGTGTGACTTGCGATCGTGTGATCCCTGAACATGATTAATCACATCTCTATTTCCAAACTCCATCCTCACGACCCTCGTTCGCCTCTATTTGTTCTTCTCACATGGAACGTGCTTCGCCCAAATCAACACAATTATATTCGATTTTCATTTAAAATATCCAGTTTTTGGCACGATTGACCCTGAGTTATTGTGATGCAATGCTTTTTTATTTTGAACATCGATGTTTTGGAATGATGATCAGTTTCAAGGACCAGGCGAAAATTGTTGTAATCTGACAGTGAAACTGGTGTGGAAATAGTGAATATGATGAACACACAATACCTCATAGAAAGTGGTCGAATGTGGTAATGTCATATATGTTTGGAATTACACTTTCTTGTAACGTTTAGATTCTGTAACTATTTTGGGTTGAATCCCATCCGGGATTGAACCTACATTGTCAGGGTGAGGCCCCAAATCGCCAGCACAAAGAGTCAGCGATCTAACTCACTCAGCCCACGGAGCTTTTTGTTGCCTTGATGTGCAGTACTTGGGTAGCCTTGATATCCGCGGAAAGAGGTCGAATTAATGTCGTGGTCTAGGCGTTTGTCGGATATCATATACTAGGTTCGCCTTGGTGTCCTATACAAGAGGTCGCATTGATGTCTTATACATGAGGTCGTCTTGATGTCCTATACAAGAGGTCGCATTGATGTCCTATACAAGCGGTCGCATTGATGTCCTATACATGAGGTCGCATTGATGTCATATACATGAGATGGCATCGATGTCCTTTACAAGAGATCGCATTGATGTCCTATACAAGAGGTCGCATTAATGTCCTATACATGAGGTCGCCTTGGTGTCCTATACAAGAGGTCGCATTGATGTCCTATACATGAGGTGGCCTTGGTGTCCTATACAAGAGGTCGCATTCATGTCCTTTACAAGAGGTCGCATTCATGTCCTATACACGAGGTTCCCTTGGTGTCCTATACAACAGGTCGCATTGATGTCCTTTAAAAGAGGTCGCATTAATGTCCTATACAAGAGGTCGCATTAATGTCCTATACATGAAGTCGCCTTGGTGTCCTATATAAGAGGTCGCATTGATGTCCTTTACAAGAGGTCGCATTTATGTCCTATACCTGGGGTCGCATTGAGGTCCTATACATGAGGTCGCATTGACCCTTTGAGTTTTGGAGAATCCACATGGTGTTATTCCCCTCGTCTCAGATACTTTCTGTGTGAATATTGACATAGTCCTTCTTTGATAATATTCAGGATTATGATTAATATTTGAGACAGGGCTTTGGTGGTGCATTTACTGGACCCAGTAATGTATCTCTCTTTGTACGGATTTTGCTGATTATTGTCATGATGTACTGTTCTAGGATCGCCATAAGGTCATGTACTCGGGCTCGGCAATTGTCCAGTTTCATTTCCCCGTTAACGTACTTTGTGTTTACATTGGAATCTCTGTATATTCAACAACGGTTGTGTATCGGATACTGACACATTTTCTCCAATATATTAATCACATGTAACAGTGATCATTGGAGCAGTGAACAACATACCAACACGTCTATCATTTGTCCTCAGCCATCCTCTTCGTAGGTAGGACATCTGATGCACAAACAATTTGATTTTCAAGGACACTTGAACAAAATATCTTACAAAATATGCTTTAACGTACAAACTGATTTTTGCAACTTATGTCCCAACATTTGCAAAGGGAAGAGGTGTGACTCACGATCGTGTGATTCCTGAATATCATTAATCACACACATTGATTTCAACCTGTTCGCTAGATCCGGGATGCATAATGTATTCATTTTGTCAGTTGCTAATCGTATTTAACATGAACTTTGTTGATAGGCTACTTTAAGGCGTCGTTCGCTGCACAGTGTAAACGTTTTGTATAATCTCGGTTGTGTCATGTCACACAGCTAAATCTTAAAAATATCTCTGTTTCTAAAAGGGTTTGCGTAAGGTTTTCAATTATATTTACGTCAAGGGTCTTTTTGAATTAGAATATAAAGTATTATCTACTCAGGAATACAGTTTAATCCAGAATTAACCATCTTTCTGCTTAAGTTTTCTGACAATATAAAAAAGATATGTTTTGGGATTGTTCTATTCTTTCTCAAACCAAATCCACTTACTGTGCATGTGTGTTTGTTAAGTTTGGGTATGAACTTGTTGGGAATGCGACGCTATCAAACAAAACTTTTTCTTTTCATTATTTAACAATTAACAGGTTCATTCGGGAAACTATCCGCGCTGTTCTTACAAGGAATTTTACAAAATATTTGTTATTTTCATGGCCATGTGTTTTTTCGAAGCAGAATTTAACTTCAATGCCATGTGCCAGAATAATTTCCACAGCGCATGTTTCCCGGGTTGAAGGTGTACCTGCAAGCAGCATGACTAAATTCAACTAATTAAACTTATCCGTCTACTTTACGGTCGAAGTATTGACTATAAAGTATTTGAATGTCGTGAAAATAAGTTAAATTCTGGTCATTAAAGAAGCTGTAAATATCTGATAACTAAGGGGGAGAGGGGGAGAGGGAAATTCCTATAGTTACTATTAAACTAGCACCTTAGCAATTGGCTCATGAACATTCCACGAACATTTTTCTTGTTTGACATTAAACATGATTCATTAACTGTTTCATTACAGGACTCGTACATCCGCTGTGATGTCGTTGATGTCTACACAGCACAATGTGCTGCTGACGGTGGCAATAATCGTCACTCTGTCTGCTATAGGTATGTGCTGCGTCTGCTGCAATGTTAATGTGAATATGAATGTGTGTGCGCGCACGCGCGCGTGTGTGTGTGTATGTGTGTGCGTGTGCGCGCGCGCCTCTGGATTTAAATAGTGCCACCGCGGACCCAATGAGATACCATGCATATCAAGAATACCTCCTGATTCCTTATGTATCTTTATCACAATTCCGGACGGTGTTAGAATAACACTTTCCATGTCTATCCGAGTCCTTGTGTTGACACCACGGTGGATCGACAGTGTAACATTCCTTGGCTAAGTCAGAAACACAAGATGCAGGGTTCAAATCCCGGGTCTCTCCGATCATGCTGCTAGGTGTGTCAGCACCACATCCGTGGGTTGAACCAAAGTTGTGAACGCCTGTCATCGGCATCATTTCTGGCTTTCTTCCCACTGTAAGCTGCCACTTCGTCAAAGAACACTTGAGTTTAGTTTTACGCCGCTTTTTAGCAATATTCGCGCAATATCACGGCGGCGGACACCAGAAATGGGCTACACGCATGGCATCCATATTGGCAATCAAACCAAGGTCTTCGTCCTGACGAGCAATAGCTTTAACTACTAGGCTACTCCACCACCCTTTAAACATTGTATTGGTTTGCATGTTGTTTAACGCCGCACTCAGCAATATTCCAGCAATATGGCGTCGGTCTGTAAATAATCGAGTCTGGACCAGACAAGCCAGTGATCAACAGCATATGGCCATCTGTCTACGCAGTTGGGTTACGATGGCAGGTGTCAACCACCCGATCCCGTTAGTCGCCTCTTACGACTAGCATGGGTTACTGAAGGCCAATTCTAAGCCGGATCTTCACGGGGTCCTCTTAAAGAACAAGTAATGATCTGATGAAACTCATGTGGACATTTTTTCTCCCCTACTTGTTTCTATAAAGATCTATTTTATCTAGCCACTGCATCCTTTGACTGCCGTCGGAAAGGACAAGAGTGTTTCAACAGCGGCACCTGCCAGCCCAACGGAACCTGCAGCTGCACGGCTGACTACGATGGCTACAACTGCCGTATTCAGAATAGTAGGTTACCGTTAACTATAGTTTTAACCATTCATACGGACCATTGACATTTATATCACAGTTTAGGAATATAGTGCCATATACAATATACGAGAAACATTTTAGGCAACAGCTGTGGTTTGTTTCTTGGTTGTCTAACGCTGCACTCAGAAATATTCCAGCTATATGGCAGCGGTCTGTAAATAATTGAGTCTGGACCAGACAATCTGGTGATCAATAGCATGAGAATCGATCTACGCAACTAAGATACGATGACATGTGTCAACCACGTCAGCGAGCCTGACCACCCGATCCCGTTAGTCACCCCTTACGACAAACATGTTGCTGAAGATCAACGGGTCAACAGTTGGAATTGTTTTGATGTTTTTTATTTTGTTTCGTTCAAATTACGTCTTCGTAAGTTCGTAAGTTCGTAAGTTCAGGAATTCCTTTGGTTCTTCTGTTGGAGGGACAGTTATTTTAGATTGTTCTATTACTTGTGTATAATATATGGTTGAAATATTTACAGGTGGTCGCGCAGCCAACAGCTGCAAACCCGCATGTCTCAACTCCGGTGTTTGTGCCAACAACACCTGTTTCTGTATGGAGAATTACTATGGAGCTAATTGCAACAACAAGAGAGGTAGGTAGAAAAAGTGTATTTTGTATTACGTCTATAAAACAATTAAGGTGCACTTATTGTATGGAGTTTTAGATGATAAATGTAGACTGCGTATTGTTTTTCAGCCATACATGCAAATCAATCGGTTTGTCCAAATTCAAACCATGAACTTATTGTTTTCATGAAAATAAACAAGACGTCTCTTTATACGTTTTTGGCGGTACAAAATTGCTTCCTATTTACAACAGTTTGCATCATATTTACCTGTTTCAAGTGTTTCGTTTAGATTAAAATCTCCCCAAACCACCCATCCTGACCTTTACTTACACTTAAAATGACGATGAAACATGAGAAATAAATCACTTCCACTAATATTCAATCCTTCAACATCCTTCAATTCAATCCTCTGTTGCATGGGTAAAAGCTATTGAATCTTGTATAGAAGTCCCGTTCGCCACCCTTGTTTGCTTTTATCAGCGTACTCCAGGGAATGTTGAGGTCTCATTGTACTCCCTGAGACATATCAAGTTTTTCTCATCGTCCTCCGTGAGGCGCTCCCCTTCTCTCTGATCTGCTGGACATATCAAGTTTTTCTCATCGTCCTTCTGTGGGGTGCCCCTCCTCTCTCTGATCTGCTGGACATGTCCAGTCTTTCTCATCGTCCTCCGTGAGGCGCCCTCCTTCTCTCTGATCTGCTGGACATGTCAAGTCTTTCTCATTGTACTCCGTTAGACACCTTCCCTCTCTCTGATCTGCTGGACATGTCAAGTCTTTCTCATTGTACACCGTAAGACACCTTCCCTCTCTCTGATCTGCTGGACATGTCAAGTCTTTCTCATTGTACACCGTAAGACACCTACCTTCTCTCTGATCTGCTGGACATGTCCAGTCTTTCTCATTGTACACCGTAAGACACCTTCCCTCTCTCTGATCTGCTGGACATGTTCAGTCTTTCTCATTGTACACCGTAAGACGCCTTCCTGTTCTCTGATGAGATAGACATGTCCATTCTTTCTCATTATATTCCCCTAGAAGCCTCCCCTCTGTCTGATTTGCTACACATGCCCAGTTTTTCTCATTGTACTCAGATAGACCATTTCCTCTCTCTGATATGATAGACATGTCCAGTCGTTCCCATTGCACTAAGTAATGCGCCCTCCCTCCCTCTCATCTGCTAGACATGTCTAATGTTCTATAAAAATTCAGGCACCCACCCTACTCCAACAGTATCTCCACTCCAAATCTTCATAGAAGATTGTAAACCAATAGTGAGTGCTTTCCGCAATCTCATTGGTTAATTACCCTTGTCGAATGGAAGAATTATTTGGCTGAATAATAATCTTTAAACTTGGAATATTGTACCAAATTAAATACACGAATGCTTGAAATTTGCGGAGCAGTTCATTTGTGAATAAACATCATTGAAGGATATTATTTTATGGCTCTTCAATCACTTTACTATTATCTGATCACATATGATTATGTGCCATGTGATTGTATACACCATCATCATTGAATAATTCTTCCAAGAATTTGTTGTCTTCAAAGATTGTATCAAAATCCCGGAGAAAGAATTTGAGGTGGTAATGTTCCTCAATTATGCAAATTCATGCAGCGAAAATAGTACGGTATTAGTGCCAATGTATTAATGTGCGGTTATTAGGCAATCATTTTCAGGTATGTCGAACAATATTCGACAAGGGTAATTAACCAATGAGATTGCGGAAAGCACTCACTATTGGTTTACAATTTGTTTTGTGTATTATATTGACAGTTATTCATTTCGAACATGTCCCCCATTAGCTAATAGCGTAACCCTTCTTTTGTCGTTTCTCGTATCTGGGGCGACAGCAAACTTGACCACGAGTGGCTAACCGCATTGCGACACACGATCGCGCTACATCCAAAGAGCTCTTTGGAAATAGGCTTCTCACTACAAATTGGTTTACAATATCGATAAATAGTTTCGTTTGTTCAATTTCCGGGATTCACTGGAATTCAACATAGGCACATTTTACCGTTTAAAACCTCCGCCTAACGCCGTCGGTTTTAAACTAAATTTGCCTATGTTGAATTCGAATGAATCCCGGAAATTGAACAAACAAAACTATTTATCTTCTAAATATTCAATAGTCAGGACTAAGGCAACAACACGTGCAGCAATTTCGCATACTGTTTATACACAAATTGAACTTTGTCTGATTCACTAACTCACTAATTAGGATTCATCAGAACCATTTCATCAGATTTCATGGGAGTATATGCGGAATTTAAAACAAAAATTCAGATTCAGCAGGTTCTGACGCACGCCCTATTACACATATCCCCCCTCTGGATCTGACTCTGCTTAACATTGGTCACGGAGAGTACTTGGGTGGGCGACCGTGTTTGGCAGCTTGACGGCTGAGAGTTTTTAGGACTTCTGTCCTGCCCCACAACGAAGCACACATGTGGTCTTCACCCAACAAAAAATGGGTACCCGGTTGGATAAGTCATAAGATTGCTGACCTTCTTGCGCCTCACAGGCAGCTGGGGTAATATTGTCCATCATGTGATGCGCTTAGAGAATGTCCCTTCGTCGTGGAGCTCTTCTTCTTCTTCTTATTATTATTACTATTATTATCATCTCTGTTGCAGAGGAAATACTATGTTTCGGAGACAGAAAGGCTATCCATATCAACCCTGAAGGGTTTCAAGGCACGATATACATCGTTGGAAAACGTGGCATGGCAAACTGCACCTTCAAGAATGTTACTGATGTCATCTCATCTATTCCGCAAAATGTTACTTGGAGTGAAGGTTTGGCGATTGTGATCCCTGACAATAGTACGGAGTGTGGAAATATCGCGGAAAGAACGGAAGTGAGTGCAGTGGATTAGTTAAATAATGTAAAATATTTCCTGATGGGTTGGACATGCCAACAGGTTTATGATTCTCGAAGTTAAAGTTTCAATTTGTTTGTGAGTGAGTGAGTGAGTTAGTTTTGCACCTCACTCAGCAATATTCCAGCTATATGGTGGCAGTCTGTAAATAATCGAATCTAGACCAGACAATCCATACGCAGTTGGGATACTATGACATGTGTCAACCAAATCAGCGAGCCTGACCACCCGATCCCGTTAGTCGCCTCTTAGACAAGCATGGGTTACTGAAGATCAATTCTAACCCGTTTATTCACGGCTTCATTTTGTCTGTGGTTGAACGCCGCACCCAGTAATATTCCAGCTACATAAGAAAGGTCTGTAGATAACCGAATCTGGACCAGACAAGCCAGTGATTGTTGTCATGAGCATTAATGCACGCTTTTGGATGTGTAGCGTTGTCTGGGTACTCCATAAACACAGATATGTTGATCAAATGTGTACGGCCGACTCGAAAACGGTTACATCACAAGGGGGATAACTCCGGCCATTTCAGGATAAAACTATAACATGCTCCAAGTAACCGTCCTTATGTTGAGAGATTTAACGCGCGTTTCCCTATATAGCGGGTACCTTGTATACGGTCTAAGAAACCCAACCTGACCACCTAATCCCTTGGGGTGATTGAGTGAGTGAGTTTGGTTTTATGCCGATTTTAGCAATATTCCAGCAATATCACAGCGGAGGATACATTGTTCCCATGTGGGGAATCGAACCTGGGTCTTCGGCGTGTTATTGCTGGAATATTGCTAAATGGGCCGTAGAACCACATGGGTTCAAATCACTGTTCGGACAATAACTTTTGAAAATATAAATCTAGGCTTTTGTAATCATTTATTGTTTTTATATGTTATAATTAAATACATTTCAAATTGAACAAAATCGGCGAAGAAATACTCATTACATAAATACACAAGGGGTAAAACCTTCTTTTTGAGTAAAACGTAAGGTTTGATTGAACCGCACGTTAAAATGGTCGTTCATTTTCGAGCAGGTTTTGAGCATCGCCATATTTGAATCTTACAGGGCACAACTTTGATTGAAGAGCGTTTTGCCAGCATCGAGTATGAACCACTAATTGTAACCACCCTTGATGAAAGACTTGCCGCAATGTGTAAATTCGACAACAGCACGAACCGCACACTTTACGGGGATGTGGTGAGCTCCAGTGTGACCAAGTAAGCACATTTATTGGTATCTAAGACGTGTATGTCCATGCATTTACTTTTTAGCGAATATATGTATATGTGTGTGAAACAAAAAAAATTTAGCGAATTATATATGTGTGTGAAACAAAATTACTTCAATGTCAAAATTATTTTATTTTTTAAAATGTTAAGAATCGTCTATTACCAGGGGCAAATCTGAAGTATCTTAACGCATGGATTCCCATTCACCTAGTCACCCCTTGTTCATATATTGTGGGGCGGCGGGGTAGCCCATAGGTTGAAGCGGTCGCTCGTCACGCTAAAGGCTCGGGTTCGATTCCCCTCATGGGTACAATGTGTGAAGTCCATTTCTGGTGTCCCCCGCCGCGATATTGCTGGAATATTTGCTAACAGCGGCGTAAAACTAAACTCACTCATCTTGCTCATCGTATACCTTAATCGGGTCAAACAGGGATTCGAACGAGCTCTGGACGCAACCCTGCTCAGCGAATTATAGTGCTTCTTAATGCTGAGCTACCTGGGCCCTCAATAACTTTGGGAGTTTGATACATTCCTATATATTTATCACATGTATCTGTTGTGTATTTCAGTGCTCAATACACCAACACGTCAATCACCAACATCTATGAGCCGGTGGTGTTCAAGGTTATGTCCAATAATCAACCGCTCAGTAACAAACCCATGCTGATTGGACAGGAACTGACCTTCTCATTCAACATTCCAGTGGAAACAGGTACAAAACTGCACCAGGTGTTATTAACTGACGTGCAAAAGAAAGTACACACCTGATGCTTTGGTAAAATGTTTTCCTGAAAACAGCGAAATATTTAGAAAAGTCTTTTGATTGCGACTCACAAGTCACAAACATTGTATACGTGTTGCAATAACACCATAGATATCGTACCCAATTGGAACACTGCCAGCAAAATATTTACGTTGTTTTAATAGTCTCAAAACACCAGATGTGTACTTTCTTTTGTACATCAGTGTATAAGTTAAACCTCTCCTGAAGGAACTGAGAAAGATACATGAAACGCGAGTACTAACTGATACAGTGGACTGTCTGGTCCAGACCACCGTCATATAGCTGGAATATTGCTGAGAGCGGCGTTAAACAAGACAAAACTACTCCAAAATAAAAACCTCGAAGAACAAGAACAAGAACAACAAACAGACAAACAAAACAAATAAAACAACACATGTCCTGTCTACTGCAGATGGATGTTGTCGAATATGAAATGGATGCAATGTTTCATGATATACACCCGAGTTTGGGCAAGAATGTTGACGGATCGGAGATAAATGTATAAGTTCGGTATAAACACTGTTCTTACAGTATGCTCGTTATATCACGTCGGGGTAGTTTAACTGTACCTTCAGAAACAGACTTAAAATGATTTTTTTCTACTTTTGTTATCATCAACGAACACCAATTTTCTCAAAGATAAACAACAATCCTAACAACATATTTCCTATGAAGTCAAGTGTTTCGTATAAGGCTCAGATCAGCTCTGTCTTTGGCTGCGAGAATGTAAGCTCTTGGTTCTGTTTCAGGCTATGTTGCGGTAGCTGTGGAGACTCTCACAGCGAATGACACCAAAGCAGGCGGTAGCACGTTCGTTATCATAACCTCCAAGTAAGTATAGGGGAGGTGGGGTAGCCTAATGGTTAAAGCGTTGGCTCGTCACGCCGAAGACCCGGATTCGAATCCCCACATGGGCACAATGTGTGAAGCCCATTTCTGGTGTCCCCCGCCGTGATGTTGCTGGAATATTGCTAAAAGAGGCGTAAAACCAAACTCAGTCAGTCAGTCCAAGTAAGTATAGGCACACTCCCTTTACTAGGGAGACCCGTGAAGATCCGGGTTATAATTGGTCTTCTGTAACCCATGCTTGTCGTAAGAGGCGATTTACGGGATCGGGTGCTCAGGCTCGCTGACTTGGTTGACACATGTCATCGTATCAATTTCAATTCAATTCTTTATTCTCATAAACCACCTTGGTGGTACAAGACCATATATTGTAAACATATATACAAATACAAATTCAAATTCAAATATCACAGTCGCTGGATTGTCTGGTCCAGGCTCGATTATTTACAGACCGCTGCGTATAGCTGGAAAATTACTGAGTGCGGCGTTCAACAACAAACCAACCATTACCAGGGAGGTTGTGCGCAGGTAGAGGTGATCACCGGGACTTGTATCCGTTGATACATCAATGTCGTCGTTGCTACGCTGACGTCTGTAAGGGGTCAAAGATCATGTCAACTGAATCACGACGAACCTAGTACTGCGCAAATGCATCTTTGTTTTGTTTTATTACGAAGTCACCATATTATACGTGTGCGTGACCTCCTTAAGAACCTGGGGCCTTATTCTCGAAACGTTCGTAGCCCTAAGAATTCTTAACTTTGATCGTAGCCAATGTGTTAAGAATGGGCTTAAGAAGTTCGTAGGGCTACGAACGTTTCGAGAATAGCTAGACAGGTTAGAATTGGTTTTAAGCAACGCATTCTTGCCATAAGATGGAACTCGTCTTGAGGATGGTCAGAGGTCCGGACGACTAACAGTATCGAGTGGTCAGGCTCGCTGACTTGGTTGACAACATGTCATCGTATCCCAGTTGCGTAGATCGATGTTCCTGCTGTTGATCACTGGATTGTCTGGTCCAGATTCGATTATGTACCGACCGCCGTCATATAGCTGGAATATTGCTGAGTGCGGCGTAGACTAACGCTTAGCCTCTGAATATATAATTTTGATTGTAACAAATAAACCCATTTAAATTGAAAAGGAACCCCTGGGAGACTAGAGATTCAGAGCCTGAACCTGGGGAAATCTAGACTTGCTTCATTTAGGGCTTTAGCATTGCAGGGAGTGCTAGGCTGTAGGCAAAATAATATGGTCCAGGCACTGTGAGACAGACTAAGTGCCGCGTTAAAAACATTTAAAGGTTCATGGAGTTCTATTTATTATGTTTTTGTTTTAATGTACTTGTTCATGTGACAAGGTGCCCTGCCACCGATGCTGATTCCGTGTTGTCGACCTTCGAGAGATCATCTGACAACAGAATAGTCACAGTGATAGTCAAAGTGTTTAAATTTGTCGACTCAGACAGTGTGGGGTTCACATGCAATGCCAGGATATGCAAGGCCGGTGACCCAGCGTGTGATTTGGTAAGTAGATCTGTATATCTTACTAAAGTAAACTCCAAATTCTTGGTACATGCCTGCCATTGTACCTTAGTTGTGTAGAGGATGCCATGATGTCTCTCACGAGACTGCTTTGCCAAAACCCGATTATTTACAGAACATACAGTTAGAATATTTCTGAGTGCGACGATAAACAAACAATGAAACAATGGTAAGCGTCCAGAAGAACAGGTCCCCGGATTAAAGGAGTCCATAGTAACGAGATTTCACCATTAGAAAAACAAATGACGTTCAGATATGTACCTAACCAGGTGACGGATGCCATAAGCTTTCACTGGTAACCTACTGACGAATGTTACAACGAAACAGAAACTCCACTAGAAGCGATGTCAATGTAATTTAAAGACAGGAAATAAGAAAGTATTAATGAATGCCAAACGTTGACACCTTCAAACTTCCAGAGTGTGTACTATCGTATAACAACGCTTAGGTTTTTCACATGACATTTCTTGGCTCGACATTGTTTCCACCCTGTGTCGAACACGAGTTGCGTCCCTTGGTATACATACGCCATGCCTTTCGATATTTGCACATGCTTTTCAGCATTTTAATGCATACTCTTCGTGCAATTCATCAGCACAAGGTTTGCAGTTGGTTCCCCTAAGTTAGTGGAGAAATTGATCTTCGATGTAACCATATTATGCGCATAACATATAGTGAGTGCTTTAAGTAAGTCTTTTGATGGGAAGTATATTTCGAATGCCATCACAAAATGACTGTAATAAATATATATTATTCCTAAATTTGTTATGTATATTCCGACTGAGAGTGTCCGGGCCACTTTTATATGTATTTGTATAACCTCATGGCGCGCTCAGGGCCCCGTTCCTCAAAGCGATCGTAGCGCTACGATTGTCGTAAGTCTATGTTAAAGTATGGCAGTTACGATCATCTTAGCGCTACGATCGCTTTGTGGAACGGGGCCCAGAACCAGAGTGAAAAGTTTCTGAATCATATCAAAAGTTATCACTGAAATTCAACAGCATCAAGACAATACAATAACTACATCAGATGGCCTGTGTGATGAGGTAACGAAACTGAGATTTCATCCCTGGCAGACAAACAAAATGACACATTACGACTGTGGCACATTTCGCTCTTACCATAGCAGTCACTCAGACGTGAGAACAGCGTCTAGTAACGCTGTATTTTTGCAACATGAAACTCTTACGTGTTCGTTGTTTTACCCTGTACTCAACAATATTCCAGCTATATCACAGCAGTACAACTATTTTGTCTGGATTAGACAACATATACGTTTATACGAGGTGAGGTGAAATTGGGTTTAACGTCGCGCTAGAGAATATTTGGCTCATATGACGACGTGCATGCGTGTGTATGTGTAGGTGCGGCTGCTTGTACTAGCCCAGACTGAACCTGGTTTTATAGTGCTAGCCCACTGAGATACCACGCCGCAGTGAAGCATGAATACCCCACTCAGACACATTATACTGACTCCGAGCCGACCAGTCCTTGTTGTACCAATTAATGCCGAGCGCCAGGCAGGGACCAACAAGTACCATTTTAACGTCTTTTGGTATGACGCGGTCGGGGATCGAACCCGCGACCTTCCGCTCTCCGGGCGGACGCTCTAACCACTACACCATGGAGGCGGTCACGTTTATACGAACTCGAAGAGACCGCGAACCGTACAACCGTAGTTTGAAATAAGCAGTAAACTTAACATAAATAGCCCGGACACACAAAAACTGTTCGTTATATCCATCAGTTCATTATGAAGGTGGTTTTCACCCATCGTAGCACCTGCCTTGTATGTGTTGATTGTTGTAGCCTACGTGTAACGGACAAGCTTCGCCATCAACCACCGGGCGCCGGAAGAGGGACGTTGGAAACCAGAAGACCATCCAGACGGTTGTCAAGGTTACTGAGGACCCTCAAGCGGCCGCCGCAGCCGGACAATCTCCCACAGATAAGACGCCAGGTAAGCCGAACAGATCCATATTTATATATCATTTTTGAAGTTATTCGAAACTGCGAATCTCTCACGTGTGAGTTTTTTAAACTTTCAAAATAATATGCGTGGAACGTATATTACGTCACTCCTCTAGCCACTATGTGGCTGAAATATTGCCGATGTGACGTTAATTTTAATTCACGTCATCCATAGTATGTTATTCCTTACCTTACGTTTTCCTGAGAAAGAGTAGAAAAACATAGACTTCCTAATCTCATATTGATGCATCAGCTCAGAGTTTTATCACAACGGTGATAAAATCGTTTGAGACGTTGTAGACAGATGAATTCATCTTCCACTGCGTTCGGTGAAGGTAATAACAATAATAACAACAGCACTGCTGCTGCTGCTGCTGCTGCTGCTGCTACTACTACTACTACTACTGTGCTACTACTACTACATCTACTACTATACACCACTAACCAGTGAAAAACCGGGATAGAATTGGTTTTCAGCAACCCATGCTTGTCGTAAAAGGCGACTAACGGGATCGGGTGGTCAGAGTCGCTGACTTGGTTGACACATGTCATCGGATCCCAGTAACGTAGATCGATGTTCATGCTGTTGATCACTGGAATGTCTGGTCCAGACTCGATTATTTACTGACCGCCGCCATAGAGCTGGAATATTGCTGAGTGCGGCGTTCAGCAAACTATACACCACTACCACCACCACTACCACCACCACTACTACCACCGCCACCATCATCAACACCACCACCAACAAAAATCGAACAACAATAGCATATCTCTGAGATGCGTAGCCCAGCTTGTACCCTACATGTAATGTTCGAGCTTGCTCACTTGATAAATATGATATTTATCATGTGCCTGAGTTGATCATTTAATAAATGCCATTTAACAAAAAATTTGTATTATAAAGTATCAAAGTTTCGAATATTTATCAGATATGTATTCTTCACAAAAAATGAAACATCCAGTAAAAATGACACTTTTGGGTGATGAACTCTTAGTTCGGGTTCCGACTTTCACACTTTCCGACTTCTGTCTCCAGATGAGTGCAAGAACGACTCCTCCAAACAGGCAGGCGAGAACGAATGTCTGATGAAGAAGGAGATCATCGTTGTCCTGGCGATAATGGCGGCAACTGTCATCATCCTCATGATCGCTTGTATGGTGATGACGTGCAAGCTGCTGAAGGCTGGCACCAAGGTCGTCGACGTCCCCCAATCGGAATACCAGCCCTCGATGTCCCTTCCTCGGCTCTCTCCAGCCAACTTTTAACTCTGATTAGCTAACGAGTCTCACCAGCTGGTACTGGTTTGTTGGCTGACAGACAGAAAAAGTTAAAATAAACAGACTAATCTATGATACGATGCACTTCAACATGATCTCAACACCAGTATAACCTCCTATTGTGGTCGAGTGTCTTTGAAATGTTTAGCTCATGACAAGCGTTTTCTTGATTTACTCTACCTATGTACTACCGGTAGGGAAGGAGCATGATTAAAATTACTCCATTTATTTCGAACACCTGGTGGCAGCACTGATTTAGAGGGATTCATTCAAATAATTTTCACCTCTACGTTCGTCCAATGGAATCTGTTTCAGCGTGAAGTCGATATTTCATTTCGGAATCATCTGGTGTCGTCATATATATCTAGTGATTCATTCAAATAATTTTCACCACTATTTTGTCTTGTTCGCCCAATGGGATTTTGCTTCAGTATAAAATCGATATTTCCGTTCACAAACACCAGGGCCCCGTTTCACAAAACTCTCGTAAGCCTAAGATCTCGTAACTTTTCTCGTAGCATTCGTACTCCCTATGTTACAGTATAGGAGGTACGAATGCTACGAGAAAAGTTACGAGATCTTAGGCCTACGAGAGCTTTGTGAAACGGGGCCCTGGTGTAATCTCTGATTTCGAGTGATCCATTGTATAATTTTCACCACTAGTTTGTCTTTTTCGCCCAATGCAATTTGCTTCAGCTTAAACATCAATATTTACTGGCAATATATTAGAAATCTGTTATATATTTTTGTAAAGTTATGCTTAATTACGTTGCTATAAGAGTGAAACCCTTTCTTGTTACGAAAATTGCAATCGGCCATAATTTTTTTATTGACATTATTTATAATGCTTACGCTATGTGGTGTGACTCTTCATTGCCCCCTATCGTCTCTGTTGCCATGAGCTTTCGTACCGCATAAACAGCGGTGTTAAAAATCTAGCACCGGTTGGTGGAGATGTCCCTGCTGTACGTGTAAACGAGATGGTGGTTTGCTTTTATGGACACGTTCATTTTTTGACGTTTTGACAACACAACAATAAATGTATAGATATATATATTGCAGTATATGCTAGGTATGTATAGTTTTTTATTTGAAGAGTTTATAACTAAAGGGACTTAAGTTGTCTTAAGTGTATCCAGGGGCAGTGGGGTAGCCTAGTGGTTAAGGAATTCAACCCGGGTTCGATTCCCAACATAGGCACATTATGTGAAGCCCATTTCTGGTGTCCCCTGTCATCATATTGCTAGAATATTGCTAAAAGCGGCGTAAACCTAAACTCACTCACTTAACTGTATACATGTATTTTTAATGACGAGAGTTTTCATCTGATCGTATAATCTTTATGTAGCATTTGTATGTGTAAGTGTTGAATAAACACCCTGTTTGCATTTTAAACACGAATAGTGACGAAACTAAGTGGCCGCAATACATATTCAACCAGTTCGGTGAAACAATATGTCACTTTACGTTGTAACCAGATGAATGCGTTTACGAAGATGGGTAGTTTATAATAATATAATATGATATATAATAGCTTATGGAAGAGGGGGCTAATTAGAACACTAACACAGTAGTAGCGCATTCTTATATCTTTGTGTTTCCCACGTTCACAAATTAAACTCGTGCGCTTCAGCAAATATAAACATATTAGTTGGCGAAAGGAGCATGTCAACGAGTGCAATGAAGCTTAAGAAAGTTGTCTTTCCAAGTTTGAAAAAATCACGGAAATGTCACGGAAATTTTGTGGATAACGAATGAAGCCACATTTGATCTTTCCACGTAAACACTTTTCCAAACATTTTTTCCAGCAGTAAAAAGACATTCATGGCTAGAATAGTCCCAGATTTTCATTAATATGGATGTTTAGCAGTGAAAAAATACATCATAATATACATCTATGTTTGATGGTGACTAAAATCAAGAAGACGATGTTTGATTTGCGATATATCACGGGCATTTTGTTTTACATTGTGACAAATCAAGTTGTCAAGTATATAGATACTTTCTTTTCCTTGCCAGATAGTTCTGTCTGCGTCGGGTTTGTAGAAACATAATCAAAGATTGGTTTGGGGATAACGTTAGTGAGTTTTAAGGTTTGCAAATTTTTCGTATGTAATCATCAAGGTTATGGTAATAGCCTGAAATCATTAGAAGAAAAATACAATGATTGTATATTTTCCGGTGAGATATTTAGTGTGAATTATTCGCTATGTACAAATGTGCGCTTGTGGTCAATTGGTGCCTTGCCGAGCATACATGTATTATAGCTTTGGACCCATAATGTTTATGCGATTTTGGTTATGTTAGAATTGTTATCACTTCGTATCAAAATATCATTGCAATATGTTTATGCAACACACCAGGGCCCAATTTCTCAAAGCTCTCGTAACCTTAAGATCTCGTAACTTTTCTCGTGGCATTCGTACCTCCTATACCTCCTATAGATTAGCTTACTACTGTCGTAGCGCTACGATAGCTTTGTGAAACGGGGCCCACATAACCTTTAATGTTGTTAAGACAGTAATACAACATATGATAATATACACTAAACGCCCAAAGAAACGTTACCCTCCCCAGTTGGCGTTGTGATGCGTGGACGTCCACTTCTTGGTCTGTCTACGGTGATCCCAGTCTGTCTGAAGCCCTGAATAAGTCTTATAACCGTGGTACGGTGGCATCCGTGGGCGTTGGCAACAGCATTGTATGTCGACCCCATCTGCACCATCCCAATGGCTCTTTCTCTCCCTTAGCTGTTAATCGTGGCATATTTCTCGTACTTGTGTATCAGACCATGTCTTCGAGGCTCTCTTTATACCCTATAGAATCATTCTGCATGTGAAATGGATGTAAATACGGTTTGAATATTGCTACGTTTTGGCGATTGATACTGCTATGTGTAAACAGAAAATGGAAAAATGTTACTTTGCAAGCAAACATTTTAACAAAGATAATTGTAGATGTTCCTAAACATTTTTTCACAATATCAAGATACGTTTTACTTGTTTTCACTAATGCAAATCAGCAGAAATGTGTAAAAGACTGAAATCATAGCAATGATTATTTTACAATTTTACACACTCTACAATAGTTGTTTCTTGTTTTAATAGTTGAAAAATGGTGACTTTAAATGGTTTATCATTGTCCCAAAGCAGAATTTTATTTCAACCTTTCTTTTGGACATCAAAATAAATATTATTGGTTTATTTCGGCTTGGACGAATATAGGACAATATAACACGTCTCAAAAAGAAGCATTTCTTCCAAATATAAATCCATTTGAGAATTATTTTTCGTGATTTGCATAAAGCTGTGTTGTTAAGCTTTCTTGTAAACTAAAACCTTCTAAAATATCTTTGATAGTTTTTCAGTAATTCATAAAGGTAGGAGGGTAACGTTTCTTTGGCGTCTAGTGTAAGCTTAAAATTGACACACTTCAAGCAACACAATGACATATGTAATACATTTTCCCCGACTGGACAAAATATAACTGTAGAAAGTTGAGAGACGCCGCTGTATCGTTTCTAAATAACCACGATTGCAATACTGTACAGTTTATTCAAGGAAAACAAATACAATAAACGCATATATGTAACTATGTTTGGTTGTTTACGGGGACCAAATATGAACAGATATATTTGAATCTTTTTGCATTGTCAAAACTTGGGTGATTGCCATTCGTCACTGTGGTCATTTTAAACATGTTTGTTTACCTTTTTATACAGCAAAATAATTGTTTAATGTTAAACATGTACTTTGTACAAATTCTAAAATGTCTGTAGTGAAAAAAAACTTGATACATCTTGCATAAATTGATAATGGCGATATATTTTTATTCAACATGAAATAAATGAACACATGTTTCTTTGGTAGTTGCCTGTTTGTTACAGACTGTATAATATAAACTCCGCTTCAAAGAATCTTCAGCTATCCCAATGGGCGTCACCTGGCTGAAGGATAGGCTAGTATTCAAGCCTGGATGGTGTGTTGGTCTGACAATTATGCATAGTGAACACAGACCACTCGGTTGTTGACGATAATAACGACGTCGACGATGATAATGATGATGTTTGCGATGCATCGAGCGTTTACGATGGTTTCAACTTTGGTCTTTGGTGATACTAACAGATACTAACACAGCTGGGGGTTATAACAGTAATGTTTGCAATGTCCACACACTAACTGTTAAGTTAAGATTCACGTGCAATGCAATCTCAATACAGGAACTTTTATACCGAATTGCTGACAACTGCAGCATCTCCAGTTGGGGAGCATATCATTGATGGAAATTTGATATTGTCGGTAAAGGTTTTGAAATTATTTAGTAGGGGAGACCGGGGTCAAATGTAACACGGGTCAATTGTAACACGGGCGATTACTCTAATAGTTTTCGCTCAAGCATAGTGTAGGTGAGTAGAGTTATTTCCCTTTACTTTCCTACGGTACACATCCAGGCGTTTTTCAGCTGCTCGCTCATGGCGAGATACAGTTAACGAAGAATCGTTTTTCACATGGGAAAGTAAATTTTCACAAAACGTAATAAAAGGTTCTTAATGCAGTAAATGTTGCTTGGTATGAAACTAATTAACAAGTGTAAAATTGAGGTATTACGACATATTTTGAAGTAGAAATATTTGAGAAGCCCAAAGTTGTTAACGTGTGACGTGGCATGAAACATGGCTACTACCATCGGGGGCAATTGTAACACTGTTTTACAATTGCCCCATGTAATTTTCCCTTGTGTTATGATAATGAAGCAAATTATGATGAAGGTTTTATGTTAGTTCTTTACTAGTTTTATCATAGTAGAACATGTTCAGTGTAATGTTGATAGTATTAGCCCTCGGGTGACACATTCTTGTGTTAGTCTTTGTATTATATTTTAGGCATACCAATACAAGAATATTAAACCAAAACATTTTAAATGTCGATGGGGATAAAGGTTTAATGTTAATCCATTTCCACCTCAATTGATCAAGATAACATCTTTCCACATTATATTTTGATTTTATTTGGAAAATAAACAGATTGTTACATTTGAACCTTCTTTTTTACAATTGCCCCATCCGCCTGTTACAATTGCCCCGTGCTGGGGGGTCAATTGTAACACTTGCAGTCATTGCATTTGATACGTAATAACTTTGTAACGACATGATAGTGAACTTTAAATGACACTGAGGTATAAAACCAAGATGCGAATGTACTAGTTAGTACCGATTAACTTTGTGAGCGGTCGACTAGTATCGAATTACAAGACGTTAAGTAAAACGTGTTACAATTGACCCCGGTCTCCCCTACACACTGGATGTTAAGGGCGGTGGGGTAGCCTAGTGGTTAAACCATTTGCTTGTCACGCCGAAGGCCCAGGTTTGATTCCCTATATAGGTACAATGTGTGAAGCCCATTTCTGGTGTCCCCCGCCGTGATGTTGCTGGAACATTGCTAAACGCAGCATAAAACCATACTCAGGCACTGAATGTTAAGCCAAATAAATATTTTACGTCCACCCAAAAGTGTGTGGTGCCTTGATTAATAATTCTCGAAAAGCGCCCTTCGGTATCCCCTCACGCAAACGCACGTACACGCACGCACGCACACACACTCAATTCCCAAATGTTGATAAATTTTTTGTCTCAAAAATAACATCATCTTGTCAAAGGTTCTGATGTCCCTAAACATCTGTGAGAACTGGAGGCACGGCCAGTATGTCCAAGAGATTTCCTGCTCTGTTAGTGCCTAAACGTCTGTACGAGGGTCCTGCTCTCTGTCTGTGTCTGTTGGTGTACTCGGGACTTCCTCCGGCGACAGAAACACATGATTATTATCCCAAGTATCGCGGAAAACAGAATGAGTACCGTGGCCTCTGACGTCACAGTTATGAGGAAAACGTCACTTCCGGCGTTCTTTGTCGCTTGTTCCGATGGTCCATGACCTTGAAAAACATTTTTGGGCATGTATAAAATGAAGTTATTATTATCTGAGTGAATAAGACATATGACAAAACATATGTACATTGTACAATCACTGTACTTGAACTATATATATAATTATATTTTGTACATCATATGTAATCAAATGCAAGTTATCCCGAGCATTCTCATGTGACAGTCAATTTCTAAGAACATGTAAGGTACTTGCTAACTTCAACACTTCCGAGCGAGTTTGCTTTCAAAACCTTTACATGTGATTCAGATATATAGAATGCCATCCACGAATCTTTCATGATGTGATTTATATCACCTGCTGAACGAAGTAATGTTTTGTAGTAATCGATAGCAGTAAAACATACTGTTGTAAGGTTGCATAACAAGCCAGAGGCTCATATTACACTTCTCATACTGTCCAAATAAGAAACATAGGACATCGGACCCTGATCTAATATTGATGAAGATCGGCGAGAGGATGTTGTTTTATGCCGAGTTTAGCGTTGCGCCTGCCATAACGCATGTACAGCGGTGGGACACATTCATGCACTGGGGGCGGTGGGGTAGCCTAATGGTTAAAGCGTTGGCTCGTCACACCGAAGACCCGGGTTCGAATCCCCACATGGGTACAATGTGTGAAGCCCATTTCAGGTGTCCCCCGCCGTGATGTTGCTGGAATATTGCTAAAAGCGGCGTAAAACCAAACTCTCTCAGTCATGCACTGGGCGCATTCATGCATGGGACGCATTCGTGCATGAGACACATGCATGTGGCTTCATAAGTTGTACTTGTATCAAGAGTCACCCACGCCAATCCACTGCCGGGTACCTACCTGACCTATTGGGCTGAGGATCCAATATCGTGAGCACCCTGGTCAGCTCGGCCTCGTCTTGGTCAAGAGAACGTCTCCGTCGACTACTGCTAGGACACGGGACCTGAAACATGTGACTTGTGAAAACAAATGACGTCAGAACAGAAGGATCATGTACAACTGCCTTTCAAAATCAGCATAGTGCACGATAGAGCATCCAGCGAATGTAAATCGTTCTCCATGTCAAAATACCCGAGTAAGCGTTTAAGCAAATTTCATTTAGTTATCTATTCACCCTCGTATATCATTTCATGTACATAATCATATCTGGATTTGAGCGTTGTTTTACACCCCATGAAAACATATTCCAGCTACATTACGGTGCCTATGGATAAGCGAGTCTGGGCCTCGATTTTCGAAGCTCTCTCAGCGCTAAGATAGTCGTAAGTGCCATACATTAGCAGCAGAAAATCTAGGCCCTGGACCAGAGAGCCCAGTGGTCGTATTATGAATAATGATCCACACCTACGGGGTATGCTTACACGCAGTAATCTAAGTGACCTCAAGTAGTTTGACTCTTACGGCTTACCGTAGTGGTCAAGGAGTGAGTGTGTATTGTTTGACGCCGTTTTTAGCAATATTCAAGCAATATCACAGTGGAGCACAGTGGTGTAGTGGTTAGCATGCTGGCCTCTCACGCCACAGGCCCGGGTTCGAATCATCCCGGTGGAGACACCAAAATTTGTGACCTGGGTCTCATACTGTGTTGTGTACCTGGGCAAGATTCTTAGTCCACTTTGCACTAAGTCCACCCAGCTGTTGAAAATGGGATCTACGGACCTATAGCGGCTTTGAAAGTACAATTCCGTCAGGGTAATAATGTAACGCCACAGAGCAGCATCGTGTTGGATTCTAGGCGCAACACTTAACATTATTATTGTTATTATTATTATTATCACGGCGTGGGGACACCAGAAATAGGCTTTACACATTGTACCCATGAGGGGGAATCGAACCCGGGTCTTCGACGGGACGAGTGAACGCTTTAACCACTAGGCTATCAAACCGCTCCTGGTGGTCATGGAAGTAAAGGTCACGGTAGACATGTTTTGTTCTTGCCGAGTACGTATTCGTAAACTCACACTTTCACAGTCGTCGTCCACGATGCAGACTTTAACAATAAACCGGAGAGCAATGCTGTCGCTGGAGACGAACTTAAAAGTTCTCAATCGGAAAGTGATAGTTGACTTGACGGCGGGGTCAGGGGGGCCGGGAACGTCCTCCAACACCGACAACACCGTCGTGTCCAAACACCTTCACGGAAACAAATGATATATTCAACAACATATAAAATTCTGTTTACCAATATATATATACAGTTATTGCATATGGTCGAAAATATACACATGTGTACTAAGGGAGATAACTCGGCACACATTTCACAAAACGATCTGCATTATATATAGATGTGTTAAAAATCATTATTTCCCGGTCTCAGAACATCTGCTGTAATTTTCTTACCCTCCTGTAACCAAGGTAACAGCATCTGTGGCTGTATCCGGAGGGCCGTTTGTGACGACAGCTGTCTCAAGTCTCAAAGCTGCAAACTCTGATCATATAAAGGTGTTACGGGGATGATTTGTAGGCCGCTTCAGTCACTTTACAATGCTCCGTTACAACGTTTGTGAAATTCGTTTCTATGTCATATTTCCTCATTACTTAAATGTCTGATTTGTGATCAGTTCCGAATAATGCGATTACTCTAAGCAACACGCGTTTCTCTTCTTTGTAAAGAGAGGCTGTTACACTTTTTTACCTTAATATGTCGGAAGAGTGAGTTAAAATTTAAAGTCACATCGGCAATATTTCAGCCATATCGTGACTATATGTCGGAAGAGAATGAACTCTTAGTAGTTCTCAAAGGGTCATCATGACCATGTAGTTATGATTGTGGCACGATCAATGATCATTATCTGGTTCAATTGTTTACATCTACACCTTGAGCTAAATCAGTGCGTCAGAATGGACCACGGTTATTGGCTCCAGATGTCTGTCTAGCCCGAGAGGAGAAACACCCGATCAAATAGAATATCCTTAGAAGACGTTGACCACGCACAATTGATAATTTGATCGACGGGAAGGATATAATTGGCGAAATTATTAGGGCTGTGTATTGGCAAATACATTGTATTGCACTATGTTGCGATTCAGGTAACCATATTGCGATACGTATTGCTATATATAGGGAACTAAGATATTTGACAGTGAGTGACACTAATTGTGTATGTCAATTCTATTTTCTACATTAAAAGTCCCTAAAAATATATTTTATGGTTCTGATGACAGAAATCTCGAAATTAGGTTGCATAGTCATGGATTCTATTTTCTTTTTTATACACTTTATAGTGCTACAGTATGGCCCTTTGTCATTAAATAACGAAGGGAAACATTTGCTGTGCATGAAAGTATGTGTAGATTTTAATTTAAACCATAAAGATAATAACAAAAAAATTAAGATATATTCTTTATCCAATATACCGGTTCTCAGAAAAAATATTGCAATACGTATCGTTTGAAAAGCGTATTGCAATATACCGGTAAAATGGTAATATCGTGCAACCCTACAAATTATCCTGGTGTATGTTCATGTCTTTTCAATTTATGGATCAGTGAATGATATTGATGTGATTGATTAATTTTGTAAATTAGTTAACGCTGAGGTTATATAAATGCTAATTTGTTAGATTAAGTCACCATTCAACTTTATCTTTCACTTGTATCTAAAGCTGTGGAGTAGTCTTGTGGATAAAGCGTTCATTCATTACGCCAAAGTCCCAAGTTCTATTCTCTTCACGGGTACATAGCTTGAAGCCCATTTCGCGTGTCCCTTGCCGTGATATTGTGGAATATTTCTAAAAGCAGTCCGTCAGCCTCTTACTTCACATGTAAAAACAGTGTAACAACTACTTTTTCAAAAGATGGCGTTCCTTGAATTTGTACGCGGCAAGTTTTTACCAAATCAGTCACTGGATTTTCTGGTCCAGCGATCACATGATGTCGCATGTACTGCTGTGCGACGTCAGGCAAGAAAGACTAACTTGTTTGACAAGCATCCCTTGGGGGTTGGCGAATGACAAAGTAGACACATTTCCAACTCCTTGTAAATACAAGGCGTATATGATACCCGTTGAGCAAGACATGCTTACCCTTTTCTGTATCAGCTAATGTCGTCACAGTGTCTGTTTCTGTGACCCATTCGTTATACAGTTTTCACTGCCTACTGCATCCAAACAAATGTGTTTCTGTAGATATTCGAGACTGAATATCCTCTGACGTTGTATTATTGTATTGTAAATTCGTTCGAATTATCGGATGTCCGGATTAACATATCGCTCCCAACAGTAATCGCCAGGAAGGCGGGGTGTTTGGATAAACGGGATCGGGCTTACGTTTGTTTTGGGTTTTTGTTAGCTATTCCAGCTATATGGACAATCAAGTGATCAACAGCATGGACATCGATCCACGAAACGTGGATACGATGACATGTGTCAACCAAGTCAGCGAGCCTGACCACCCGACCCCGTCTCTTACGACATGCATGGGTTACTGAAGACCAATTCTAACCCGGATCTTCACGGGTATCCGGGCTTATGAATATTCATCATACGAGAAACGGTGTCAGTCACGAAATCTTTGTAGAATACTGTTTTCATTAACTTCATTTAAACGTATGCTAAAGATATTACTCCACATCGAGGTTTTGTTAATCCAGACACTGTTAATCCGGGCGACTGGGGATTATATTTTCCGAAACACAGTTTGAAATGAATTATTTTGTTAGGCAGACCTGTATTTTGAGCTAATAAGGGCATGATCGATCTATATCTATTCATATGTCATGCCGGACTCTACATGCTAATAAATTCCAGCAAGTGAGCATAATGGTTAGTGATATATTTACCAGATGGGGGGGGACGCTGAATGTAAACACAAGCACCATGCCAACTGAGACGGGTGTGTCCACCAGTACAGTTCCATCAACTGTGGTAATTACCATGGTAACCGGATTGAAGGTACTGCTTACCACTTGCCGTTTCAGAACAAACCTGGACAATGTGAAAAACAACATGGATGGATTATAAGGCCCTGTTGTCTGATAGAGATTTAACGTAAAGTAGTAAGAATTTGCATGGTTTCATTTTGAACATGTCAGTTTGTAACACTAAAATCCATATTCATTTGATAGTTTCGTGATTTACTGGAACATCGATTACGTGGACAGCACGTTTGTTGTTTCACTCCAATAAGTACAAAAATAGTAATAATTTGTAATTGTTACTTTTTGGCTCTATTAAGATTTAACAATTTTTTTATTAAAATAACCGGATATAGTTAATATTACCTGTACACAATAACAGATAATATAACCAATTTTGAGTAAATAAAAGTTACAAAAATAAATCAAAATATTTGCAGTTAGTTTGGACAGACTTTGTAATGGTATTATCTTCAAGCATGGAAATCGCCTCTTTCCAACTTAGACAATTTAGATATAGAAATACATACACATAGTAAGAAACAGAATTATCATAAACTGCCAGAAAGAAAATTAAGAAATAACATTACAAACTTAATTCAATCTAGGCTAAAACTAGCCCACGAAACATTGCAAATATAAAGTCCAAACCACATAATCTATTAGATCTATGATACCTGTAGCAAATACTTCACCGACGGGTTACCATTTCTTGCATTTCAATCATTTTAAAAAGAATTCTGGCCTGTTCGGTAACTATTGCAGTGTGAAATGTTCCACTGACATACTCATCTGCAGCAACGGAAAAGGACGTTGCAGCGACGTCGACACCACTGAGATTGAGGGTATTAGTCAGCGTCACTTGAAGGTCAAGGCCGGTGATGTAGGTGTCTCTGAACTGGATGGTCACCTGGCGGACTACGGTTGTACTATTCTAAAGCAATATGGGAATTATATTTCGTAAGATTATCTTCAAGTATTCCATAAAATAATCACTTAATGATGTTGTAATGTTAGTGATGTCATGTTATTGATATATACATATATTTAATGAATCATACACTTTGACAATCAGCGTTAAGTGCAATGAACGTAATGCATGTAATTAAGAAATACACTTCGCTCTACCACTATGTATAGTGTAATAAAACACACTTTTGCCCTGAACTGTTATAGTTAAAGCACGAGGACGCTTGCGTCCGAGTGCTTTAACGTTATAAAAGTTCAGGGCGAAAGTGTGTTTAATTACACTATACATGGTGGTAGGGCGAACTGTATTTCTTTTCTAAGATGCCAAATTTAATACTTTCTAAAGATAATTACGATTAATTTAAGGCAGAAAACAAACGACGGTGCCGGTGACCTAAATTAAGAATCCTCGCACAGGGCTAACTGGCGCGCTGTTCTATTGATGTGTCTGCCCCAGTTTGATGACGGTTTACGTTCGGATTAAATATCTTCTTTGAATTATTTTAATCACATCTGTCATTAACATAAACCATATGGGGCAATATGAACGTTGCATTTCTACTACCAGCGTAAGTTTAGATCAGTACATCCAGAGGAAGTTGAGTAGTCAAGCGACATTCCACAATTGCATTGTGGGAATGTACACATTACGAACGTTACCGTGTCGCTGAAAACTTGTGAGTCGAAATGAGACATTTTAACCGTCGTAAAGCATAAACGTAATGTTTCCACCAGTGATGTTAGCTGCGTGAAGCAACAGCAAACCAAGAAACTGGATGCAACGGTGTAGTTTACTGTAGGAGGCCGTACGAGGCGATGACAACTGACATGCATCGTGACGTCGCTTACATTGTGATGTAATGTAAAAATGGTTCGATTACGAGGGGGCACACTAGAATGGCGCAGTGACGGGATAACGTCATTTAATTGTTACGTCATCAAAAAACTATACCTTTATTGTCTGATAATGTATTTTTTTTCGATTATTCTAACCGCTAGGCATCTTAGAATGATATTCACACGCTGAATATTTTATCTTTTAAAAGTCATAAACTGTTGGATCTCTTATTCACTCGAACGTCGTCTTCGTCGAACCCAGGACCGCCATTTTCCTCAGACTCGGATCCGGACGGGTATCGACACAACATTACTGATTAGTAGTGTACCCTCACCTTCGAGACGTCTACAAGAATACCACTGGTCAGATCATGAGACACCCGCGGCCGCAATCGCATCCAGTTAGTTTTGATATCTCACCTCACAGCCATCCCTGGTGAATGTTACCTAAACCTTAGGTGCCCCCATACTTATCGCCTGTATGATAGTACCTACCATTATAAAAGAAGACCAGGCTAGCTATTCCCGAAACGTAAGTAACCCTACGAACTTCTTAAGCCCATTCTTAACACACCGGCTACGATCAAAGTTAAGAATTTTTAGGGCTACGGACGTTTCGAGAATAAGGGCCCAGGCTTACACAAGATTTTGCTATGAAAGTTGGGCAAGCCCTCGATACTATCTAAATAAAAAGCTTTGCAACCTATCGAGCTCACACGAAAACAATGGCTTGCCACGCGCCTGTCCTCCCTGCCCCCTCTTTCTCACTCGCAATATGTCGGCGGTAAACCCTAACTCTCTAGGTGTCCACATAATCATCACCTGTATGATCTACCTCTTCTTCCCTCCCGACACACAACACGTTGGGTTAGTACCTAAAACTGTTATCGCATCTTACCTCCCCCTACCACTGTCCTCCCCACCCACCCCAACCCACAACAAGTCAGTCCTGTACCCTCACCTTTGAGGCGTCCCCACATACGTCGCCTGTATGGTCGAAATCTCCGTAGTATCCCTCCAAGTGGTCGGGGACGTCGTCAGCTGGGTCAGGGGGGTCAGGAACACGAGCCAACAGACAGTCAGGGATGTTTCGGTAGCCGGAAACGTAGATGAGGCCGAGGAAGTTGGAGGATGGGTTGATGTTGATGATCATCTTAGTTGCAGTGCTCTCTGCGTCATCTAGTTTGTCATCAAAGGAGCAATTAGAACGAGTGATGAAACATGTCCTCATACAAATACTTCCTTCGATTCTGTTTAAATCTATAATTTCACTTTATTTTCTTAAGTATAAAACGGACCTATTCAAATGAACTTCCAACTGCAATGCATTACAAGCAAGGGTCTGCAGCTCTTTTTTACAACCATTTCTTGTATGAAAGTACGTGGGAAGGAAGGCATATTCACATCCTTTTTTATACTTAAAACTATCGGTCTTAAAGATTAAAGTACATGTATGTATTTTCCAATTCGGATCAGACTGTATCGCCTAATGTGCATTTTATGTCACCCGTGAGGGTTCAGGGATGGAATGTGTCTAAAGCAACCTATGTTTATTGCAAGATGCGAATTAGTGGACTGGGTCACCCATTAGATTTTGCTTTACTTCTGGCAGCTGAAACCTCAGCTATATAACTATAACATAATGTTTATGTCATGACTTCATTCTAGTCATATAAATAAGTTGGTTGGTTGGTTCTAACACCCAGCAATATTCCAGCTGTATTGCGGCGGTATGGAAATACTCGAGTCTGGACCAGACAATCCAGTGATCAACTGCATGAGCATCAATTGGGATACGATGACTGTGTCAACCAAGTCAGCGAGCCTGACAACCCGATCCCGTTAGTCGCCTCTTACGATAAGCATGGGTTGCTGGAGACCAATTCTAACCCGGATGTTCACGGTTATATAAATACGTATTTTTATGTAGTTATTATAATATTGTTTGCGTTACTTTGTTTGTGTCAGTGAAATAGAGCAATATATATATAAGCAACATCGCGGAGCCCTGTTCGCCTCTAAGGACGTGTGTTGAGACAGTGTGGGTATTGTTAATATCAATCAGCATTGTGATAGATTATTAAAAACTATAATTCTTACATCGCCTGTACGAACACGTGAGTCCGTAGTAGTCCTCTGGACAATAGCAGGAAGTAGAGTTATCTGCCCCTGTGTAGCATGTTCCTCCATTTTCGCACTTCGTCCTGTTACAGGCTGCAGAATTCACGTGATCTACAAAGACATGCATTTTGATACTAGCGAGTGGATTGGGTTTAAAGAATCTGAAGCAGTGAAAAGTATTTGTACGTCGTGGTAGACGTGGTGTTGGGATGAACCCAGAGCGACACATTTCCATCCTCCTCAGCCAGCTGACCAAACAACGTTCATAATCATAATATGTGAACATCAGATGGCAATAATCGCTGGATCCTGTCGCTGGATCGCTGCTCAACTAACTAAAGGTCCTTTGTCCTGTGGGGAAATAGTACCCAAAACACAGTCAGTCAAATTATGCAGAATCCTAAGATATTTTTTTCGCGGACAGTTTAATTTTGTCAACACAACCCAACATGCCAAGACAGGATGTTTGTTTTGGTATGCCAGGCTTCCCGGCGAGATGACAAATGCCACAGAAAAGATTGTATGTGCTTGGTCAGGCGATATATTAGGCAATATTAAATTTCATCTACAAAATCCTGAAAAAGGGATAAAGAAATCTTTTGAAATTTAGAGCATTATTTGTATAGTGCATAAAGTGGTACAGGGAGTTGATTGTATTTCGTTCTGGATGGGTACATTTGAAAATAGTGCGGAACACGAAGCCTTGGACTGTACGATATGGGCGGATGCTGAAGGAGTGGATTTCATCTTTGAAGGGTATCTGTATAAATTTAGCAGATATTGTCACAACTTTGTGTTATCCAAACATTTGAAAATTTTGTTTGTAGGAGCAGTAGACATAAACAAGTAATCAAGTTTTGCCAAGCCGGTATTATTTCATGAATGGTCGTTGGATAATAATATCGTTCTATGGTCCATGGAGAGTAGCAATAATTATCATAATGAAAAATCGTCGTAATATATAACGTCAGCTTCGTAGCACAACCGATCTCGACTATCCGCGGGAAAAGAATCCATTGGGAGTAAAAAGGAAATATATCGCTGAAAATGTATAGTAAAAATTGTATCATTACACATCAATGATTAGTTGTGAACAGGCCGGTTAGAGTGCCCTGTCCATTCGTTTGCATAAAAGGGTAACATATGTTGTTTGTTGCATCACGTCACGCATGTACTCGTGTGGCAGTTTCATCCTACCTTGCCCTGGACAGTATCACGTGATGTTTTTTCTCTTAAATTCTTAAGTACACATGCATTCAACCAAGTCTGGATGTTTTTCGTAATGTCTCTGTATGTTTTGACAAAGCTGTCAGAAATCTATAAAAGTACTGGCGCTGCCTTGCTGTAGAGAAGTATTGGAAAAGACAAAAACTGAAAAATTCCGTAAAATTATAGAAGTGTAAAATAAATCTCTTTTACATTTTAGTGGTAATGCGTGACTAATTTCATCAGCTTGGCCAGATTAAACTGAATGTACAATATTGACAATGATGATATGTCGCATGTTAGAATGTTTCAACATTAAATCGATCTTTTTGTATATACTATCAAATTACGTTAGTGCCATTATACTTTATATAATGGGTTTCTCGGTGGCAAGTACATAACGCACATTGTTGTAACATTATCAAGAATATTTATCACACATAGTTCAAGAGGTCATTGAAAATTCATGATTTAATGCTTATCTTATTACCTTTTAGAGCATTACATCTCATGAAATATTAAACACGACCTTTTTTACCTGATTTGTTTAGAAATCATGAAATAATGTTTCAGATGTTGGAGATGCATCGACAAACACTAGTGTCTAGCGGATCAGATGACAACCGGAGGCTTAATAGTACAAGTGACACTTTCTGTGGTAGAACTGCTCTCCATACATTCTCCATTACTCATTCGCCCGCATTGTGTCCACACACAAAAAACATTTATGGCTTCACAGATATAAAACTATCTTACCCTTGATATGATCTGGCCCCGTTTGGATTGTTCAACCGGACTTTATTTTTAAGCAATTCCACGGATCTGGCCACTATATCACCAGGACAACCACACCCTGTTATTCTTATGGAAAGTCAAGTCATTGTTCTTCATATCTAACAGTACCACCTGGTGATCGTCATCATTCCGTCCCATTGCCCTCACCCCCGGGAGAGGAGGGACAGACACCATAACATCCGACATTCATTATGGTCATCGCATGATCCCGCCCCACCCAACACACACACGTTGACAGAGTGACAGTGTTGTAATACGAGGCCGTGTCTATTGCAATACGCCAAAGAGGGATGTTCGGGAATATAAGGCTAATCATACCCCCTGGCGGCGCAACACCTAGCACCCCGTAACACATACAGGAAATAGGTCATAATATTCATTGCAGAAAGTTATCAGTGATTTTATTACCTACTGGTCATTTATTACGGGGGAGATTGTGGTGATGATGAGGGAGTGGGGGGTATAGGGCGGTGATGTAGGTCATTGGACTCAATCATGATATATTGCTGAAGGAAGTAATATTTTTTATCCATCTATATTCTACTTCACCCTATAATGCATAACCATTTCCTTAATAATGGTCAAATGTACTTTCATTTGTATTAGAAACGAATGCGATGTATCAACTCCCAATGTATATATATCTACATGTATCATTTATTTATCCCTCTCTATCTCACTCTCTCCTCCCCCTCTTTCTCACTCCCCTTTCTCTCTCTCCCCTCTCTCTCTCCCTCCCCCTCTCTCCCCTCCCAAGTCTCTCCTCTCTCTCTTTCTCTCTCTCCCCCTCCTCCCCTCCCCTCTCTCCCTCCCTCTCTCTCTCCTGTCGCTGCTCTACCCCCTCTTTTCTCTTTCCCTCACTTCTCTTTTCTCTTTTCTCTCACTGCCCTCTCCCCTCTTCATTTTCTACTAATCTCTCCTCTCTCTTTACTCTCAATTCCCTCTCCCCCACTCTCTTTTCTGTCTATTAATCACTCTTCTCTCTCTTTTCTCACTTCTCTCTCCTCCTCCCTCTCTTTTTTTTAATCTCTCCTCCCTCGCTCCTTTCTGTCTCTCAGTCATACAGGAAGTACCGCAGCCACAATCTCCACCTCTCTCCAAGCTTTGTGTAAATGTAGCCTGTAATGATGCATAATAAGCATAAAAAAACACTTGAAACATACATAAATAGTGTTGGCATATTGGAATATTCTCGAGCAGGCTACCAGCGACCACTCCGTTTTAGGAGCCGCCATTAGGTATACAGAGTTGCGTCCCTTTAGCATGACAGGAACCTACGATCGTTGGTGTCATTCATGGATATTTTTTATTTATCTAGGCATGACAGCATCACTCCCGTGGTTGTTCGTTTCACCAAAGTACTAATCTTCTGAGACGAGCATCCTTCTGAGGCGAGCATCACTCACTCACTCATTCACTCCTTGAGTTTTTAATGACTCACCTGTCTCAAGGCCGCAGTTGAATCCTTCTCTGGGAGGGGACAGAGTACCACACCCTGTACACACGGAGCTCCCAGCTGTACACGTTCCTCCATTACAGCTCATTCCGTATCGACGGCAGTCAAAGTCGGCATGGACTGATTGTAAACAGACAAGCAGAACAACTCACGACTCTAGTCAAAACACTTTGTTCAATAGTATAAAATACAAATGTTATGTTTTCATGTAAGACAACTGTTGACATTACAGTGCCAGGAAAACAGTAGAATTATAGGCGAGATTACCCAATTACATTTATAGAGTTTCAGTACAGCTATATATATTTTTACTCTGGCAATTTGATTTTTACAATTTATCTGATAAAATATAACCTATGTATCTAAAAGGAAATTACGAATAGATAGACTGGGCACATATTCGCATACCCAGAATCATTTAACTCACTTCTATCATACAATAGCCTGAACCTACTTTCATACTCGACTCCATCAGTGTTTTCTCCAACATAGCATGGAACTTCTCTCGGTCGTGAGAGTAATTTACTTTTACAGCTATTTTAGTGGCATGTTATTCGAATCTGTCTCAAAGAATGGCCAAAAGTAGTTACGGTAATAATAAGGATGTACGATATATATTGGGTAATCTAGTATAGACTGTAGCGTCAATCCTGAATTAAAACAGTATTTAAGAAGGCAAGACGGAGATGTTTGCCTTAAGATACTGTCCTATTACGCCACAAACCGTAACCAGAAGTTGGGTTAAAAAACATATCCGTGGATCAACCCCAGGAAGGTATATGGACATGCTAACTCACGTAACTAAATAATTGGCCAATTTTATAGCGTTGAACTCCACGCTGTAGGGACATGCTCTAAGCGCATATAACATAATGGACATTATTACCCCGGATAACCCAGTATGTACAAAATATATATGAATAAATTAATGCTAAATACTAGAACTGTTGTCCATAACAAACTTACTGAATAATATCTGTCTAAGTATTTCGGTGTGTGTGTACAAGAGTAGCTTTTATCCAAAGGGTTATCCGAGTGTATATCTCAAACACTTTGGACATGGATCATTCAAATTTGCAGCACCAAGCCTGTGGAACAGTCTCCTTCTCCCATAAAGCATCTTTAGGAGAATTCAAGTCAGGACTCAAAACCTACCTCTTCAAACAATTCTACAACCTATAACTGCCAAATATTCTGATGGTCGCTTTTGACGAACTGTCATATTTTCCTCATGAACTCTGGTGACTCTTTCTATATGTAGCGCTCTGAGCATGCTCTGGACTATGGCGCACAAGAAAAATATTTTTATTATTGAGTCTCAAGCAACATGGAGAGAAGACCAACATCGACGACCAATGGAACTCGTCAATAACTGACAAGTTACAAGTAAGTAAGTGAGTGAGTTTAGTTTTACGCCACTTTCAGAAATAGTCCAGCAATATCACGGCGGGGGAAACAAGAAAGAAATGGGCTTCAAACACTGTACCCATGTGGGGAATCGAACCCGGCGTGACGAGCGCTAGGCTACCTAACCGCCCCTTTCCTCTGTGCTTCATCACTTCCTGTTCATCAGCATGTTCATAATAACAATAAGAATAACGTTGCAATTGTTTGTGTGCACACATACTAATACTACCACACACCATTACTGCAGTATTACAGAAAAGGACATTAGGGATAATGTGATGTACATTTAATGACAATAAAGAGTTTACGTGGATATAGTAGCGAATACCGTCCTTGTGATGGTTCCAGAATATATACAGGTCCATGTCATAAATTATATGCAATAAGTTAAGTTGTTAAGTGTGTTGAAACCCCATGTTAAGATGAGGTACACAAACTTCAATCGGATGTGTCTCCAAGACACTAGAAAATATATTACGAAATTAATATAAGCAAATCTCGAATCATTTGGCAGGTCTAGACTGCCTGGGCTTCAGCTGGGTTTTATTTCTGATTTGTGTGTTTTTTCAAGTGTGCGTGCATGCGTGCATGCGTGCGTGCGTGCGTGCGTGCGTGCGTGTGTATAATAGCAAAATAATACTTTATTTCCTGGACCAAATGTTCGTATAAGTATATATATATAAACTGTTTGGCACTGTTTGAGTTTCTTGGACTTCATTTCTGCCCCTCAACGAAGCACACGTGACACAACTGGTCTCGCCTTAGGCAAGTGAGTCTGTTCATGAATTGTCTCTGTTCATCCAGCAGTGAATGGGTACCTGGTTGGATATGTCATATGACTGTTAACCTTCTAGCGCTTCACAGGCAGCTTGGATTATCCGGAGTAATAATGCATTAGCTCTTTGAAGTGCGTGGAAAACAGGCGCTTTATAAATAGCCAATGCATTATCATCATTATCATATGATCGACTAGACAGAATCCCACATGATATGGCCGTTGCACATCTGCATGCCAGACGGATGTTTTGATCTAAACAAACTAATAATTGATAACGAGACATCTATTTTCCACGACTTCCTAAGTAGACCCGGGTTTGAGTCTCCACTTGGGTACAATGTGTGAAACCTATGTAAAGGCACTTATGACGATAATTATTCTATCAATTTTATCAATGTTTTACCTACATTAACCACTTTATCATAGGTTATCAAATCCACACATATTACAGTATTTATAACACGGGCTGGTACCTCCGCAAGCAAATCCATTGTAAAATACCTTGTACGTGATTAACAATGGGACCTGCATAATATATGTTTGTGCGAGTTCATTTGAACCCGTGTTCTGTATGTCTGTCCGTTAACCTACATATTTAAATACTTAAATATTTAAAACAAAATAATAATAATTTCTTTATTTTTCATGCATTTATACACAGTTGCACATGTATACAATTGTCTATACAAACAAAAGGTGACAAGATGGCCAGAATTTAGTATATCGGTTTAAGATGTACGTTTCTGCTGTGTATGTCGTAAAGTAATAAAAGGCTTGTGAGTTCCTCTTAAATCATGTCAAAATTTACTGCTTTTATATTTGATTTATTTTTGAAAATAAATTGTTTGCATACAATTATTAAAAGATTTATTGGTCCAAAATTGTGTAGCAGAGAGCCAAGAAGTATATGTTTCTTATTAAGGTTAATGAATAAACCGGCTTTCTGGTTGACCCAGACGCAACTCACATTTATAAAATGATAGTAATTCAAAAGGAATTTGTTTTTCCTCTCTTTTGTCAACGTATTGATGGGTTGGGTTATCACCATAGGCAACATGAAACTGATTTCAGTTTAGATCAGCTATTTAACAACAGTCACTCGCAGTCAGAATCACAGCACTATTAAACACCCAGCTCAGACCCCATTGCGTGCATAGCTATATGGCTGTCGTGTTAACCCATAAAGATACAACAGAGGTTGAGAAAAACAGATACAGAGCAGGACACACACAGATGGGAGTGGGCAGGAAGATGTACGTCACATACCTTTACATATTAATATGGCGGCTACCCACAACATCTGCCCCATACTACACGTGACTAACATTCTTCCGTCAAAGCTGTATAAATCCTTTGTAGGCCCTCCGCTTCATCCTCATCTCTTGGGTATCTCTCTGAATGATCCTGGCCCCTTATCCAACACTTGTACGTAAAGAATGTGACTACACAAATACTGTTCCCGTGTAAAGATGCTATCTGAGTTATCCCACGGATAACGTACGAAATCTGTTAAAACCTTGAATTTTGATGGCAACTGTTGGCACCGGTCATCCGTAACGGTAAACTCACTACGATAGAAAAGCTTCAGTCTCTTCGCTGTCTCAGGTAACCTGTGAATTCGCTGTAGGTCATCCATAGAAGCTTATGATTTTAAGCCCCCTGTCGTGCGAGGGGCTAGCATAGATAATTCCTTTGTACATACAAATGCACGCAACTGTATCGAATTGATATAAACCAACAGCGAAGCAAATAATTGAAATATATAATATACATGTATATTTTTCAAGTGTATAGATATATTTGATTGGGTGACGCATCTGTGGTCGTATGAGATTCGTGTGTGGGGCGAGCCATTATTGATGAAGACACGCTGAGACAGAAGAGACTATACACGTTCTATTCAATGTTATTTTCTTCTCTGGTGAAAACGTTGGCGTAGACGCATGGTGAAACAGGGCCAATGACGACATCCTCCGCAGCTTGAAGCGTGATTAACCAGCTTTACTACACGATTTAGTCAACCGTGATAGAAATATTCTATACCCGAATGTAAGCTGACATTACATCGTCACCAATGGCTGTACAGGTGGTGTAGTTATTATAAACCCAGGAAAAACGAAATTCGTTCAAAACACAATAGAGATAGAAGCCTGTTGTGATAAGACGACGGTGTGTGAACTGACGAAATGAAAAGTTCGGAATACAATGAACGGATTGGGGACATCACGTATTGGCTTGAACATTTCTACCTGGGTCGAGGCTTCAGTTAGCAGCCGGGGGACATATTGTTGAAAGAAACTGTCATCAGTTATTGGGATGTTGGGAACGGGAGGGGGGAGGGAGAAGGGGGTTGACGTTGGCAGCAGCGACATCACCTGTGCCTGTATGGTGTATATAGAGCAACCTTGTGTCCTTTAGCTGTATCTAGCCGCTGGCTGTAGGTGCGAATCCAAGGTCCCTACTGATTCAAATATTAAAGTTTTTTTGTCAGTATTTTACCTGCACTAACGTACCCGCGGTGTGTCTGTCCGGAGAGTGGAAGAGCTGTAGTTCGATCTGCGGCTGCGTCCCACAAGAGGTGGAACTTGTTGTTTCAGTGCCTGGCGCTCCACACTAAGGGCATAATACAACGGATGGTTCTCTCTGAGTCAGTAAACTGTATCTGAGGGGGATATCTATGTTGCGCTGCAGTGCATCTCAGTTTTCCAGTACGTTAGCCTGAGTTTATACAAGCACACACACACACGTACACATACACGTCTCTTATAAAAGGGAATATATTAGAACGCGACTTATGGCACCATTTCACCTCAACACGTGTCTTACCTGTGCTCCATCCACATAAACCGCGTTAGAATTGAAGATCCAGGTTAGAATTGGTCTTCAGCAGCCAATGCTTGTAGTAAGAGGCGACTAATGGGTTCGGGTGGTCTGGCTCGCCCACTTGGTTGGCACTTGTCATCGGTTCCCAATTGTGCAGATCGATGCTCATGCTATTGATCACTGGATTGTCTGGTCCAGACTCGATTATTTATAGACCGCTGCCATATAGCTGGAATATTGCTGAGAGCGGCGTTAACCAACCAACCAACAAATCCATCCTCATGACACGGTCTGTGCCTCAGCTTGTGACACACTGGCATAACATGATAAAACAAGTGTTCAGGACCACGATAAACATCTTATCTATCAACATCTCCAGCAACGACCCGTGAAGGTCCAGGTTAGAATATTGATCTTCAGAAACCCATGCGTGTCGTAAGAGGCGACTAACGGGATCGGGTGGTCAGGCTCGCTGATTTGGTTGACACATGTCATCGGTTCCCAATTGCGTAGATCGATGATCGTGATGCTGATCACTGGGTTGTCTTGTCGATACTCAATTATTCACTCACTCACTCACTCAGAAGCGACACACCACTGGTTTTAAATGACTCTAGTAACATATCCCCACCCCCACCACCCCTACTCCAATCCATTTGCATTAATGTTGTATTTTGTGTTGTTTAACGCCTCACTCATTAGTATTCAAATGACAAATCGGATGGAGATATCGGGTTTGGTCCATACAACGCAGTGGTTGATACTGCAGGAAGCACCCTACACTCACGCGATGCATGACACCACATGTTGAATTTAGAATTTAATATGTTTTCCTGAGGACCTGAATGACGAAATAGGCCCCAGACTGCCTGAAAAGGACACATGAAAGGCCTAACGCGGCATAATGAGAAGTTTTAACTTGGAAAGTCTTCCAACGTATCATTCAGACCTCTGGATATAATATCTCTCTCTCTCTCTCTCTCTCTCTCTCTCTCTCTCTCTCTCTCTCTCTCTCTCTCACACACACACACATCCCAATGTATATATATCTACATGTACTCTTTATCCCTCCCCTCTCTCTCTATCTCTCTCCACACTCCACTCACACACACACACACACACACACACACACACTATGAAATAGATGAGGTGGTTTTACTGACCTCTCTATTTCCATTCTGTCTGGTGAATCAGTGGTAGGGTACTTGCTGTTTGACAAATATCGAACGACATCAAACCATCAGTTTGGCCGAAGCGTAAGTTACACCTTGACTCAATGCCCTAGTTTTGATTTTGTCAGTCCCAGAAGAAGTGCTAACGGGTCAAACAGTCAAACCAGCAAGGAGGGGAACACAATTGATGACCACAGGATACCTACCTCGGCTGAATGGCATCCCCAAATTTCACAAGCTCACGAATGTTTATGTCACGTACGCTTGAAAATAATTTTTGAGATTCCTTTCATAAATTATTTATATTACAAACATTAATACCTTTACCTTTGTGTTTATGTCATAGGCAAAGAAATTAACAGAATAAAAATAGTGAATGTGGCGATGTTTTTAAGAACACACATACGAGGCAGTGTTATGTGACGAATGAAATCATTGATGAACGCTGGTCTATGAAAGGCCAAATCAAACAGGTATGGTCTGTCAACAATAATAAACCGACCAGGCTTACCCACCCGAATTCTCAGTGTTAAAATGTTTCTCATGTGTAACATTCTTTTGAAGATTAGACTGAAGGTGTATAATGGATGAGTTTCCAAATAGACAGGATGCATTCCCGACAGTATTTATTTCTAATGGAGTTCATGTACGTTATGACTTTCTCCAATACGCACTATTGAAGACACACAGCATGCGCCTAACCCATTTTGAAAAACACCTTTTGTGAACTTTTGTGAACGAGTTACGGAATGTTTTTGATTCAGTAAACGTGGTGCGGGACATAAAAACTGAATTAGTACATTTTTCTTAAAAACGTCATTTTGAGTATGTTAGGTGATACAAAGTGTGACAGCGCGGGGGTTCTCTGAAATTCACAACGCCACAAAGGAACAACACCAATCATGCAGTATTAAACTTACCGTTGACAGCAGAGTCATAACCTAGAAAGATTCCGCTTGATTTGAGACTAGACAACTGGGTTAATATCAGAAGGAAAGGTTAATAGTTGTATCGTGTCTGACGTAAATCGCAAATAAATATCTCACCTTCGTGTACTAAATGTGTGAAACCTCACGTGTTAATACGCACGTCACAACAATAGTATACTTAACTTAAAATCGTCTACTTTTCCATGCAAGAACAGTGGGCATTCTGTCATGTTAAACTGTTCGTGATTTATAAACACGATGTTATATTCATAAATATAAAAAAGAAATATTATATATTCAGCCATGTTTGTGCACGCATATATTTGTGTTTGTTTGAGTGAGTGAGTCAGTGAGTTTAGTTTGACGCCGCACTCAGCAATATTCCAGCTATATGGCGGGGGTCTGTAAATAATCCAGTCTGAACCAAACAATCCAGTGATCAGCAGCATGAGCATCGATCTGCGCAATTGGGATACATTGACATGTCCACGTCAGCAAGCCTGACCGATGTGAGGTGAGGTGAGGTGAGGTGAGGTGAGGTGAGGTGAAATTGGGTTAACGTCGTGCTTGAGAATATTTCGCTCATATGACGACGTGCATGCGTGTGTATGTATATGTGCGGCTGCTTGTACTAGCCCAGACTGAAGCTGGTTTTTTATAGTGCTAGCCCACTGAGATACCATGCCGCAGTTAAGCATGAATACCCTACTCAGACACATTATACTGGCTCCGAGCCGACCAGTCCTTGTTGTACCCATTAATGCCGAGCGCCAGGCAGGGACCAACAAGTACCCTATTTTAACGTCTTTTGGTATGACGCGGTCGGGGATCGAACCCACGACCTTCCGCTCTCCGGGCGGACGCTCTAACCACTACACCACGGAGGCGGTCCTGACCGATTTGTAACGTCGAAGGCAGTAATGGTTACGTTATATGACGGTGGTCTGAAATTGTCGAGTCGGAACCTGACAATCCAGTGATATCATCAGCATCTATTCGATGTGCTGAGGGCCTAAGTTGGCGAACGTGACCCGGCTATTCCGTTAGTTTCCAGGATTTTGTTTATGATGCAATTTCTTACCAATCGTCACCAACCCATGCTTGTCGTTAGATGCGACTAGCGAGATCAGATAGTCAGGCTCCCAGACTTGGTTGTCACATGCCATCGTATCCCAATGACGTAGATCGATGCTCATGCTGTTGATCACTCAAAATCATCTTATAACTGAAGTAGTCTGAAAAAAGTTCAGAGGTATTTTTACTCAAATTGTACGATAGATTTATGAAAATTGTTCAATGATTTCAGATAGATACGACATTCTATCTATGATGATAAATACCTAGATCTATTAAACACCTGTACACACTATTAACAGTTAAAGTAAAAGAAAAAGCATCAGGTGATTTATGATCTAACATGAAATACGATGGTACACATATGCAATATTCACAGTTTGGTTCCAATAACATAGCCATGTTGTAACTTCATCTCCATCATCAGTTGTACGACAAATAGTACATGTGCGGATATTACATCATATAGTCAAATATTCATCGTCAATTCCAGAGAATAACCGGTCTCGATTTTCCGCCAAGACAGATTCCATTGGACGAAAATGGCAAGGTTTTCCTCAATATAGCGACACCAAACTATACTGAGATCATCGTTTCGGGAAACGTATTTGTGTGTCTTTAATCAGAACTGGTATACTTGTAACGGCAATGGTTTTCCTGAATACCCAGGGGCA